GGCCTGGGGACAGCGAGGACACGGGGGAGGGAGGGACAGGGGAGGGTGGCACCCGGGACACACGGGAAGGGAGGGTGGCACACAGGGGACAGGGCACCAGGGATGGCGGCACGCGGGACACCAGGGGTGGTGGCACCCAGGGGACAACGGAGCACAGGGATGGGGACCCAGGGGACATGAAACACGGGGATGGCAGCACAGGGGGGGGACACAGGACAGCGGGGATGGGGACCCAGGGGACACTGGACAGGGATGGCAGCACGTGGGGACACAGGGATGGCGACAGACCCAGGATATGGGACACAGAGGGGACACGGATACAGGGGTGGCAGCAGGGGGGGACACAGGGCACCAGGGATGGTGGCACACGGGAGACACGGGGATGGTGGCACACGGGGGGACAAGGGGATGGTGGCACACGGGGGACACGGGAGAGGGAACTGGGGACAGGAAACTCCCCCCCGGAGACCAAATCCTGAGCGCACAGAAAGGGATCTTCCCACCAAATCAGCCCTGGGACACCCCTGGGAAATCCTTGGAACACCCCCGGGACATCCCTGGGACATCCCATGGGACACCCCGTGGGACATCCTGTGGGACATCCCGTGGGACATCCCGTGGGACATCCTGTGGGATATCCCTGGGACATCCCGTGGGACATCCCTGGGACATCCTGAGGGACACTCCTGGGACATCCCTGGGAAATCCTTGGAACACCCCTGGATCATCCCTGGGACATCCCGTGGGACATCCCTGGGACATCCCATGGGACACTCCTGGGACACCCCTGGCTGATCCTCTGCCTTCCCTATTCCAAGCTTGGTCTCTGTGGCCACATTCCCTCTCTTTCCCATTCTGTTTGCATTCCCTGGAAGGTGGAGGCTGCTTCCAGGTTAATCCTGGATTCAGGTTAATCCTGGCTCCAGGTGGATCCTGGCTCCAGTGAAAAACCCTAATTCCAGTGAAAACCCAATTTCCAATAAAAACCCTAATTCCACTGAAAACCCTAATTCCAGTAAAACCCTAATTCCAGTAAAACCCTAATTCCAGTGAAAACCCTAATTCCAGTGGAAAACCCTAATTCCAGTAAAACCCTAATTCCAGTGAAAACCCCTATTTTCAGTGAAAACCTTAATTCCACTGAAAAACCCTAATTCCACTGAAAACCCCCAAATTCCAGTGAAAACCTTAATTCCACTGAAAACCCTAATTCCACTGAAAAACCCTAATTCCACTGAAAAAAACTAATTCCAGTATAAAACCCTAATTCCAGTAAAACCCCCTAATTCCACTGAAAACCCTAATTCCAGTAAAAACCCTAATTCCAGTGAAAACCCTAATTTCACTGAAAACCCTAATTCCACTGAAAACCCTAATTCCACTGAAAAACCCTAATTCCACTGAAAACCCTAATTCCAGTATAAAACCCTAATTCCAGTAAAAAACCCTAATTCCACTGAAAACCCCTAATTCCAGTAAAAACCCTAATTCCACTGAAAACCCCTAATTCCAGTAAAAAACCCAAATTCCAGTGAAAACCCTAATTCCAGTGTAAAACCCTAATTCTACTGAAAACCCCTTAGCAGCTCCAGCGGGAGGAAAATCCCCCGGAAGCTCCCCATTCCCAAGGATCATTCCCACCCTCCTCACTTTGGATCTTCCCATTGCCAGGGAAGAGAATAATTAAGAGCTTAACAAACCCGCTGGTCACTATTCCCAAAATCCCGACAAGCTGGAGCATCTCCAGCCGTGGGCGCCGTGTTCCCTTTGGAGAGAAGAAAAAACTCCAGGAAAACCAGGAATATTTCGCCGGAAGTTCCATATTTTTTTTTTTTTAGAGCAAAGCACCAAAAAATCCCGGAGTTCATTGTGCCTGAGGAAAGGTTGTCCTGAGTTTTTTGGGGAAAGAGGAATGAAGAACGACTTGGGTGGACGAGGGGAGCGACCTGTGCCAGTGGAATTCCTGGAATTCCCCCTATCACCCCCAAGGATTTGATTCCCAATGTCCGGAGGGAATCCAAGTGAAACCACTTTGGTCCTGGCACCGGGCACAGAAGCTCCCGGGGGTTCCTTCAGGAATTTATGGATATTGAGGAGATTCCCCTTCTCCAGGATGGACAATCCCAGCTCTTCCAGCCTCTCCTGCTCCAATCCCTTCATCCAATCCCTTCATCCCTTCACGGCTCTTCCTTGGATTCTCTTCGTCTCTCCCGGACTGGGGAGCTCAAACCAGGCCCAGAACTCCAAGTGGGACTTATCCAAGTGGAAGGATTCCATAGGGATTGGAATGCCAAGAAGATCCTAAACCGCATGGCCCGAGCCACCGGGACGGATCCGAAGCCGGGTGGGAAAATTCCTGCACTAAACAGGGAAAAGAAAGAAAAGAGCAGGGAGAGGGGTTAAAGCTGCAAATCCAGGATTCCTGGAGGTGTCCCACAAGGTTTTGGGTGTCCCGCCGCTGGAATTCCACATCCATGAATCCCCCAGTTCACGAATTTATTAAACTTCATGGAATATCAATTCCCACCGAATCCCGAAACTTTCCTGGACTCAGGGCAGGAAATCCAAAAGTGTTTTTTTGTTTATTTGGGGTTTTTCCCATTTCTGCCCTTGGAATTCCGGTGTTTGGCACCGAACTTGGAAGCTGACGTGGAAAAAAAAAAATCGGGATGGGAAGTGCTCAAGAGTCAAGTGGAAACCCCAAATCCCGCACGGAGTTTGCCGAAGGGAGGGAGCGGCAGGTGCTCCATCCTTCTCCCAGTTTTCTTCTTCCAGGAATGTCTGGTTTTAAGGGATA